GCGATCCCATTATGGTGTGGGGAGACTGACAGGGTGTACGTCTGGGTGATGCCCTCCTCATGACAGAACCGGCCAAGGCGACCGGAGGCAAACTCATCGCTACGGTCGAAGTGAAGGTGCAGCACTGGCTGGGCGCGGTGGACTCGCGCAGCTACAAGCCACGGGATCAGAACGTCAGGCACATTGGCCTTCCGTTCCAGGGGGAACACCGTAGTGTAGCGCAAGTAATCGTTTACGAGAACCAAAAAGTAACGCTCGCGACGCGGCTTAAGGACGGGGGCTGGGCCCCAGACGTCCAAGTGTAGGTTTTGGAGTGGCGAAGTGGTCGGGGGAAACGAGGAGGAGTGAGGAGCGCAGCGCTGCCAGCCTTCGATGCAAGGCATGCACGGAGGTGCCGGCGAGGGAGGGAGGGTAGGGAGCGACACAAGGAGACCTAAGACAAGACCGTGGTAGGACATGTGACATAGATGCAGGAGTGCATGGTGACCTAGGCGGTGGTGCTACAGAAGCGACGGGTGAGTGAGCGACTGACACGAGCAAGCCGCAGCAACCGGGGGGACTTTGACACCCGGGGGGGGGGGGGGCGCGGTGTCCGGCGTGATCAAGGCCAGACATTGGGTCTTGGGGGAACGTGGTGAGGGAGGCACCAGTGGCGGCCTCAATACAGACCGCGTACCGCTCGTGTCCAGGGAACGTGGTGCTGACGCCGAGGTCCTGAAGACAGCCGTTCCCAGCTAGGTTTCTAGAGAACGAGGGGATGTGCAGATCTAAGGGAACCGCCAAATAGGGAACTGTGATGGAGCGACGTAACAGGCTGTGCCAGTCCGGGAGGTTCGGAGCGGGCCCGAAACGGAGACAGAAGAGGTTGTCGAGTCAGTGGTAGCAGCTGGTGGCGGAGTGACCAGGATGGTCACACACGGTGCTGCGATGGGGACCAGTCTGAAGCTGTTACTGGCAACTCACCACACTGGAGCCGCCACCCGACTTCGAGCTGCGAGGGCTGCATGCGCGGCCATCACCACCAAAGCCGCCTGACCACCAAGGCGGCGGGGCCCCTTACTGCTGCTGCTGTTGCCATTGCAGCTGCTGCTGCTGCTGCTGCCACTTCTGCTGCTACTGTTGCTCTGGGGCGTCATCCCCCGCCCCCTCGTCTCCACTTCTAGCACTCCCGCCACCGCCACCTCCCCCGCCACCCTCAACACCCCCAGCCCCTGTCCCTCCCTTACGTCCCCACTTGGGGCGTCGGGGGGCTCTACCTTGATACGGATGCGCTGAGGCCGCCGCGACGGTCGCAGCGACAGGGATTGTCTCAGCGACAACAGCAGAGATGTCAGAGTAAGTGCACTAGAACGGAGCACAACCCTGGAAGATAGGTTGGCCCGCAGTACCGCTAGACTGAGCCATAGTGCGCTGGCGGGTCTCTATCGCCGACAGGGTGGCGACGAAGTCGCTAAGGGTGAGGTCAGCGGGGTGAAGACTGATGAAGGTGTTGGGAGCAGTGGCTAGGCGGTCGGGGAGGTGCGTGGCTAAGAAATAAAGCGTAGCACCGAGGGGGGGAGGTAGTACAGTGAGCTGAGCCTTAGTGCTAGCAGTCCGGTAGCTAGTCTCAAGGGCAGCGGAGGAGGGAGTAGAGGAGCATGCAATGAATACATTTGGGTACTCCTGTGCAGTCTCTATAACCTGAAACCGGGGACGCTCGGACAGGGGGAGGGCGTGAGTGGTAGCAAGGTGCACAACGTCGTCAAGCAACTCCCAGAAAGAGTGGGCGAGCTCAGCAGCGGTGAAAGCCTCACGCTCAGCCGGCGTGGGGGCACCAGCGAGGGCAGCGGGCATGGGCGTGCAAGGCAACTTGGACGACCAGAGAGTGACCGCCCTGTCGCTGACCCTTGAGCTGGCGGCGCAGGTCAGCGAGCCATGTCTCAAATTCAACAACCCGACCCTCCGCATTCAGGCAGAGAACGGCGTCCGCCATCATGTAGAGCTGCAGCAGCTGGAGAGCTCATATGGAGGAGGAGCAGGGGGCAGGCGGGTGTGGTGGAGTGCGGTAGAGAACGGAGGGGTGCATTGGGATGCGGCGGGGTGCGGTGGGGTGCGGTGGAGTGCGGTGGAGTGCGGTGGAGTGCGGTAGAGTGCGATGAAGTCACAAGAGAAGAGACAGCTAGCAGGAGCGCCGGCGCAGAGGAGAAACCAGGGCCGGCGGCAAGCTGGGGCTGGTAGCGAGTAGGGGCTGGTGGCGAGCAGGGGCCGGCGCGGCAAGCCGAAGGCGCCGCGGTTAGCTTGGGCGGCACAACAAGTTGGGGCCGACGCGACAAGCTGGGGCCGGCGGTGAGCTGGGCCGGCAAAGAGCTGGGGCCGACGGCGAGAAGGGGGCCGCGGTGAGCTGTGGGCCATGCGGCGAGCTGGGGGCTGCGTGGCGAGCTGGGGCTGACAACGAGCTAGGGCCGGTAGCGAGCTGGGGCTAGCGGCGAGCAAAGGGCTGCGCGGCGAGTGGGGGCTGGCGACGAGCTGGTGGCCGCGCGGCGAGCTGGGGCCGTCGCAGCGAGCTAGGGCGGCGCGGCGAGTCAGGGCCGATGCGGTGGGCTGATGCCAGCGCGGCGGGCTAGGGGTCAGCACGACGGGCTAGGGGCCAGCGTGGCGGGCTAGGGGCCAGCGCAACTCGTTTGAGTTAGGGCCAGCACGGCGCGAAGGGCTAGGGCAGGCGCAACAAGCTAGGATGGAGCGCTCTATGGTAGGCTATGGCGGGAGCGCGGGTGGGTGAGACCTACCTAGCGTGATGCCATCGCAGAGTAGCAAAATGACTAGAACTAGGAGATACATGAGACATATAAGGTTGGTGTTGTACCCTCTAAGAACACAAACCTATCAAGCCTATAATGTCTACATACAAAGCAGATGTATAAGTTGATAGGTCGCCTACAGAAGGCAATAGACCCGGCAGACTCATCTCTAGGGGCTGAAGGCACAGCGACAAAAGTAGCTCTTGCATAACTAGAGTTATCAAGGCTCATAGAGGCTGTAGGATACGTTGAAGCTTGTTGTTCTTGCTGAGTAGACTGATTAGCCATCACAGAAGCGAAGTCAGATAGATCGTCAGTTGATAGACCCGAAGTAAGATAATTCGTAGATGAGTTTCCTGCCTTATTAGCTGACATAATGATGGATCACATACTTAAGCTTAATTGCATAATCGAGATCAGCTTATAACGGGTTTCTGTAACTCTACTTGCTGATAATACCATATCGGAGTAAACCACGTGTTCATGGTGGTCTTTATCTAGTGTTGGTGGAACCAAGAGTAGACTTTACACTTTGCAAAGGAAATCTATGAAATGAGAATGATAATAATATTTGAGAAAACATACATATTTGTAGTTTAGAACGTATCTATTCATGATGGACCTGTTCATAGAGTATTCTGGCTATTCGCATGACATGACTAGTGACTGTTCGTGTGACTGGGAGTTGCGTGACCTTTCGGGTGACTATACGTACGAGCCTACTGTTCACGCGTTGACTCGCTACTGATGACGTCATCACGCGCGCCCTTCCAATGGGATATCGTGTTAGTAGTACTGTCGAAATGTTATCAGGAATGCATAAGCGGTAACTCTGTCGAGTATACTTCAACACCTAGGTGACGGCATGGATGGATGACTGACTGTATGCGAAATCCTGAAACAATATTATGCACCATGTCCTCTGACATGATCCATCCCACGAGATGGGATGACGTGTGCATAAGGCAATTCCTTTTTGCCAACTACTTTTTAGGCCATGCTCGCTAGCCGCGAGTCACATATTAGGCCAACAACCAACAGACAATATCAGTTCTTTATTACACTCAATTCATCGTGAGTGCAACAATAGATAACCAAACACAACAACCAATGTCATGTTTGGGTGGTGCAGTCTAGGAAATCAAAGCCTTGTGGAATCTTCAGAATCGACCACCACGAGGTTCAAAGGTACAACATTGTTCAAAGCTGCTTCTTGAATTGAAGCTTGTTTGGAAACCATGAGGTAGTACAGGGAAGAAGGTGAGCTATTGACATAATATAGCAAGGTGACAACCCTGTTTTGCAGGGTCAACAAAGGAGAACCGACGTTTTACCGTACTAAACATCTTAATAGCCTACGAAAATCTATTTGAAAACCCTGTAATCCCCGACCTTGAGGGTCCCCCAAGCCCGAAAACAGCGTTGTGAAGGTGGTGGTCTATCCTCACGGAGGATCTTCAAGTCTTAGTTTCCGTGATACGCTTGTGGGTGGCAATCTGGAGGAAAGCCAGCTCGAGGCTATTTTAGGCAAGGTCGTGTTCCCTCAATCGCACCTCGAGAAAGGGGAGGGGTGTTCTTCAATGTCTAGAAAATTTGTCATGTTTCAATCAAACGCCAGACTACTCAATTTCCGTGCTGCAGTCTTAGAAGGACCGTGTAGCGTGTTCGATTGAACACTCCGCATGGTACAAAGTTCCTTGTGAAGTTGAGTTGAGTCGTAACCCTAGGCCTGCGCTGGCGTGGCGTGACCTCAAACCCGAGGAGGATCCTGTAGTCCTTTAACCGGCAGGTACATCGGATTTCATTAGACGTTCAGCTAATCGTCATCTCAGAACGCCATGCCTTATCCACGAATTTGACGGCCTGCTGTTTATTTGGTTGGTGGTGAGGCGGTGACCGGCAGTTCCAGACCAAAGCCACGCAGTCCCTGACAAAATCCAGGAGTTTTCTAGATTGAGGGCAATTGTGGTGTGGGTTTCTTGTTAGCCAGACCAGAACCAGAATTTCCAAGTCGACGCAGATTACAGTACAGTATTTTCCCGATCACAGGAAGAGGGGAATCCTCCTGCCCAGACCGCCGTACCTTTCTGTGGTGTCTCCTGCTTCGTCACACCAAGAGAATCTTGTTTGCGCTGTGCTGTACTGTCCTGTATTCCGTCTCCCGGGCACAGCACAGATCTGTTGCCACGAAGTGAAAATCTAGGCCACCAACTCCCTCCTCCATGTGTGCATTTTGAGTTGCCTAGATGAGGGTGTTGCATGAGTAGTTGAGCTTATTTCTCCAAACAAGGGAGACTCCTTCCCTTCCCTAGCTCTCCTAGTCAACTAGCAGCCTAAGAAGCTACTAGATTTAGGCAAGCTGCAGGTCCTCACCATGACTGCTCGGAATGATGATGGCGACGGTCTGTCCCTCGGGCTCTCCACACGGAACGACGCGTGGCGAAAGTACGGCGACTGGGAGGCGACTTTGCCGTCTAAGGAGGAGCTAGTTCCTCTTAATCAGCGACTTATTACGCCTATTCTCGCTGCGGCGTTCAGCATTAAGGAGTCGATGTACAACGTTACGGAGCAGGACGTCGAACGTGCTGCTCAGGTCAATATCCGTAACCTCCGCTGCTTTCGTTCTTCTTGTTTTTGCTTCTGATTTACTGAGGCTGATTTGTTTCGGCACGGATGCCGCCTTGTTTGGTAGAATTTTGTTCTTCAGACATTTGTTGTACATTTAGACTCGCTCGCTTGCGTGCAGGTCTCACCAGATATTCGCGCGCTTCGCCGAGGATGCCGTTTCCTGCCTTCCGCGTCCGGTGTCTTTGCCTTGCTAACTCCACCCCTTTTTTGAAGCGTTCATGCTTCAAATTCTTACAACTCCGGTTTTTTTTTTTTTTTTTTTTTTTGGAACTTGTTTTTGTGTTGTATCCAGGCCACGTTGAACAACATATTGCAACACCCGAGATTAACGACACGGCCGGAAATCGTCCCCCCGAACCTGAATCACCATCAGTTTCAGTCTCTCCACACAGGAGCATCCAGAGCCGCTCCCCCTTCCAATCCTCCTCCTGTCGCAGAAGCTCTTCCTTTCGCGAACGTCCCTTCGCGACCGTCGCACGACCAGGAGCCTCCTGAACGCGGCCGGGACGAGCGGAACTTGCGAGAGTTCGACCCTGCTGGCCGTTTCGTTGACGACGACCGCGCGCCGTTGCCGCGTGGCGAGCAGCAGAGGCAGGAACGGCTGCGCGAGCAGCAGCAGGGGATGCCGCCGCCGCCGCCGCCGCCGCAGCAGCAGCAGCAGCAGAGAGAACAGCAGCGGACGGAGCAGGGTTACGAGAGACAGCAGCTTGACAGAGAGGAGCAGCGGCAGCAGCAGGGGAGGCAGCAGCAGCAGCAGCAGCAGCAGCAGCCGCAACGCGAGCAGCGCGAGCAGCGGGAGCAGCGCGAACAGTTCTCCGTGTCAACTGGAGCGGAAACGATGCGCGGAGAGGGTAACAGTCGGCCCCCCGCTGCGCTTTTCCCCGGCTATCAGGGGGCTCCCCGCGACGGGGAAGCCAGGCGCGATAATACTGACGGGCGGAGGTTCTATAGCGAAACCGGTCGGAAACCTTCTAACGAGGACGAGCTGTTGGCTTCTGGACAGGAAAGGTTTCTAGGGCGCTTGTCCGACCACGACGTCAGGCTCGGCAATAGCAACGGGAATCCGCAGCCGTCAAATGCTCCGGATGATCCTAGCCGTTCAAATAACCGGTTTGGCCCTGGGGGTCTACGAGGCGCTACGGCTGATGTGGACGCCAGGTTCGCAGGCTGGAGACGTGAAGGGGGTGGCTCGGAAGCAGGTTCGGACGGAAGCTCGGGTGGTGCGGGAGGGGGAGATTATGGGGAAGGGTTGAGGCGCACTGATGATGGGATTGATAAAGTCCAGAAGGGTCGAAATGGGGGGCTGAATAACGTGGGGGAAAATAGTGGGGCAAGTAACCCTAGAAATTTGACAGCTTCTGGAAGGCGCCTGTCCGAAAATGGACCTGGACCGGAATTTTCGGGAGATAGACGGCAAATCCGTAGGGAGGAGAGTGACGGGGTGAGGGAGAGGGGGAGGGAGAGGGAGTGGGAGCGAGAGAGAAAGAGGGAAAGCCAAAGGGAGGGGGAAGGAGGAAGTGGGGACGAGGAGGAGGAGAGGGAGAGGGAGTGGCAGGGAGGAAGGGAACGAGAGAGGGAGAGAGAGGGGGAGGGGCGGCGGCAGCAGCAGCAGAGGGAAGGGGAGGGGGGGAAGCCAGAGGGACGGGGGAGGGATGAGCAAAGGGGGCGTGAGTGATAGCGTTGGGAACGGAAAGGGGCTGAGTTTGGAGGAGGGGGAGGGGAGGAACGGGAGCATGAGAAGCGGCAGTCAGAGGGAGCGGATGCAGGAGCGGCGGCAGCAGGAGGAGCAGCAGGGGGGCGGGAAGAGGTCGAAGAAAGGGAGGGAGTCGTCGCCTGAGCCTGATGAAGACGATTCAGGTGCGTGTGGCTGGTGGCAGGCGGAGGTTCAGGTGTGTGTGGCTGGTGGCAGGTGGAGGTTCAGGTGTGTGTGGTTGGTGGCAGATGGAGGTTCAGGTGCGTGTGGTTGGTGGCAGATGGAGGTTCAGGTGCGTGTGGCTGGTGGCAGATGGAGGTTCAGGTGCGTGTGGCTGGTGGCAGATGGAGGTTCAGGTGCGTGTGGCTGGTGGCAGATGGAGGTTCAGGTGCGTGTGGCTGGTGGCTGGCGGAGGTTCAGGTGTGTGTGCTATTACGCTCTCATGCGCTCTCGTTTTCTCGCATGAGTCATCCACGTGTCATCCAATCTCTTCCTTATGCTGCCGCCATGTTGCCCCATCTGCATGCATCCATGCACCTGGCAGGCAACCAAGACGCCAACAGCAGGGACGACCAGCTGCGCCCCCTCACGTTCTCTTGTGTGCCCTTATGTGCTTTCTTTTGGACCATCGGATCCAATCTCTTCCTTATGCTGCCGCCATGTTGCCCCATCTGCATGCATCCATGCACCTGGCAGGCAACCAAGACGCCAACAGCAGTGACGACCAGCCGCGCACTCTCAAGCGCCCGCGCCTCGTTTGGACCCCGCAGGTAAAGCCCTCTTCTAGGTCCCGCCGGTAATCGCATCCGAAGGACCCTGCAGGTGCTTTCCTGATCCAATCCAAGCATCCAGCCCTCTCCTTGCATCTGGCTTTCCGTTGCTCGAGATGGCTTTGTCTCTCCCCTGCAAGGAGCCTTTTGAACCTCTCGAATTTCTATTGGTGCGAAAACCCTGGCTCGTAGCTTACCTCCATTTCTCTCTGCTGTGTTTGCCTGTTGTCGTATGGCTCGTATTGGATGTGTGCCTCCCTTCCTTTCACCGTCAGCTGCACAAGCGGTTTGTGGATGCGGTTTCGCATCTGGGCATATGCGCTTACCTGTCCCCCATCCTCCCCTCCCTCGCCCCCTGCCTGCCTATTGCTGGACCACCACCTTCAGCTGCACAAGCGGTTTGTGGACGCGGTTTCGCATCTGGGGATAAAAAACGCGGTGCCTAAGACCATCATGCAGCTGATGAATGTGGAGGGGCTCACGAGGTTAGTGCGTGGCAGTGTGTGTGGAAGGACTTATCATGAGTGTGTCGCATCAAAGCATAAAGAATCCCGTGCTCAAGGCCATCATTCGGCTGATGAATGTGAAGGGGCTCACGAGGTGAGCACAAGGGCTCATTCTGGTGTGCCTCACATCCCATCTGGGGATACGAAACGCCGTGCCCGAAACCATCATGCCGCTGATGAATGTGGAGGGGGTAACGATGTGAGCAGGTTATGGTTGGCAGGGCTGACCCGTTTAGAACGAAAGAGTTTGGTTGGAAGGGCCTCTTTCATTGCGCGCTCCACTTGGGCATCAAGAACGCCGTGCCCACGACCATCATGCAGCAGATGAATGTGGAGGAGGGGGTCACGAGGTGAGTGTGTGTGTGGTTGTGCACGCACGATAAGAGGGACCCTTGCCTTGCAAGGTGATTTTTGAGGCGCCTCAAAAATTGAATGTGGAGGGGGTCACGAGGTGAGTGCTTGTGTGGCTGTGCACGCACAATAAGAGGGACCCTTGCCTTGCGAGGTGATGCGGTTGAGTGTCCAAAACCACCATGCAGCGGATGATGTGGAGTGGAGGGGCTCAAGGGGTGAGCTATGAGATACGTGTGTGTGAAAGGGTATATGGGCTCTCGTGGAGGGGCAGGGGCTCACGTGCTTTCCCGCATATGGGCATCCAGAACGCCGTGCCTAAGGCCATCATGTGGCTGATGAATGTGCAAGGGCTCACAAGGTTAGTGCGAAAGGGTGTGGGTACAAGGGCTCATTCTGGTGTGCCTCACATCCCATCCCATCTGGGCTTCAAGAGCGCCATGCCCGAAACCATCATGCGGCTGATGAACATCGAAGAGCTGACCACGGTAGTCTGCCTCTGACTGCTAGGGCCGGGACTGGGAGTGGGATGAGTTTTGAGGCGCCTAAGAAATAGTGTGCATGTGAGTGCTAAGGCCAGGGCTGGGAGTGGGACGATTTTTGAGGCGCCTAGGAAATAGTGTGCCTGTGAGTGCTAGGGCCGGGGATTACAATTTCGATTGGACGGCGGCAGAGGGAGACTGGGCGACTGGATGAGGCTCTGCTAGGTAAGTCACCTCGAGCAGAGCTTTTTGAGAATTCTAAAAAATCTCTACAGCGGCAGAGGGAGCCCTGGCGACTGGATGTGGCTCTGCTAGGTAAGTCACGTCAAGCAGAGCCTCGTAAAGGGCTGTAGACGTGACTTACCTTTTTTGAGGCGCCTAAAACATAAACTCCTCGTGGGCAGAGGGAGACTGGGCGACTAGATGAGGCTCTGCTAGGTAAGTCACGTCGAGCAGAGCCTCATGAAGGGCTGTAGACGTGACTTACCTGATGTGACTTACCTTTTCACTTACCATGTAGTCCTTATCTCTGCATTCACCACTTCTTCTCAACAACCCCCCCCGCTGCAGGGAGAATGTGGCCTCGCATCTGCAGAAGTACCGACTCTACCTCAAGCGAATGCAGGTGAGACATGAAGAGATGGAGGCATGGTGAAGGATTGCTGGGCGGAGGTGTTAGGGGGGGTGCGAGGGGGGGTGCGAGGGGGGTACATGTGAGAGTGGTGAGATGCAGGAGATGCATCTCAGCATGTAACTCACCTTTGCGACGGTGCATAAGCAACGATTTGAGATGTTACAAAGATCCCCCGTCTCCTCGCGCGGTCACTCTGGCGACGACCCATAAGGGGCCGACCCTCTATTCTCCTCCACGCCCCTCCCCTCCAAGTGAGGAGAGCGACACTACATCTATTCTTGAAACTCTTCCCTGTCTCGCTTCTCTCCCGTCTCTCCCCCTCTCAGGGTCACTCTGGCGATGATCCATCAGGGGGCGACCCTCTCTTCTCCTCCACGCCCCTCCCCTCCAGCCTCAACAGCCCCCCTCAGCACTACTTTCCCCCATCCGCCCCCCCTCCCCCCGCCGCTCCTCCTCCTCTCAACCCCCTAGCCGCTGCCGCTGCTGCTGCTGCCGCAGCAGGGAACCCTATGGGGAACCTAAGAGGCGCGCTTTCCGCTCTAGGAGCAGCAGGGCTCTCCTCCCTCCCCCCCTCTCTCCACCCAGACGACCCTCTCCTGTCCTCCCCGCACTTCTCTGCTGCTGCTGCTGCAGCTGCTGCCGCAGCGGCAGCAGCAGCTGGAGGAGGGTCGAATCCTCTTCTCCCATCCCAGCTAGCAGCATCTCTTTCCAACTCCCAGCAGCAGCAACAGCAGCAGCAGCAGCAGCAGCAGCAGCAGGCTGCAGCAGCGCAATATCTTGCTGCGGCTCACAACCCAGTGGGCAACCCGCTTGGTGCAGCAGCAGCAGCTGCTGCAGCAGCAGCAGATCCGATTCTGGGGCGGGCGCTTAGCGCGTATGCAGCAGCAGCCGCTTTTTACGACCTTCAGAATAGTCACGCTGGAGCGGGGTTGGGAGGAGGGGGTGGTGGGGGGCCCCATGGGGTGGGGCCGAACCAGCCACCAGGAGCAGCGGCCGCAGCGGCGGCGGCAGCAGCAGCACAGCAACGGTCACCATCACTCCCCTTCGCCCCATCCCAATTCAACCCCCTGCTCTCTGCTGCTTCAGGGGGAATGGGGAGCCTTAACCCTGGTGGGTCAGGGAGAATGGGGAACTTGGGAGGCCCAACAGGGGGGTTGGGAAATGCAGGAAATGGGGCTAGATTTGGTCCTATGAGTCATGCTAGAGATATATTTGGGAGGGATTTTCCGGGTAGTGGTATGGGGGGGGACATGGGAGGGGCAGCAGCAGCAATGGCAGCGGCTGCAGCAGCTGCTGCTGCTGCTGCTGCGTCGGCGGGGGGAGCAGGGGCACCTGCAAGGGCACCGTCACCTGCGCGGCAGGTGTTGAGCCTTTTCCCTGAGCAGCAGTGAGGGCAGGACAATGGCTGCTTTGAGTTGGCTCAAAGGCTGCTGCTGCCGCAGCAGCAGCTACCGGGGAGGAGCAGCAGCGCTTGCAAGGGCACCGTCACCGGCACGGCAGGTGCTGAGCCCTTTCCCTGAGCAGCAGTGAGGCAGGAGATTTGAACACAGATGGTTAGCTGCTGCTGCAGTAGCAGTAGGAATTGACAGGGTAGCTTAGGATTTTACACTCTGACAGATATAGACCCTGAGAGTGTCCCCACCTGAGACTGCATCTTCAGACTCTGGATTTCCTCCTGCAAGTGCCAGTGAGCCTGTCACTGCAGTCAACATTTGTGAAAGCAGACTGAGTACAGCTATGTGGAAGGAATTGCTTGGTGTGAGACCTTTCCTAAACAGGGGCCTGATTTTTCTGTTTTAGAGGTGCCAAACACCTCTCTAGCAGCAGCGAAGGATTTCCTCCTGAAAGTGCCAGTGAGCCTTTCGCTGCACTGCAGTCAACATTTGTGAAAGAAAATGAGTACAGCTGTGGAAAGGAATTGCTTGGTGTGAAACCTTCCCTAAACAGGGGCCTGATTTCTCTGTTTAGAGGTAGTAGTCAGATGGAACAACGTTTATCAAACATTCTCTCTACCTGCAGCAAAGTAGTCAGATGGAACAACGTTTATCAAACATTCTCGAGACGTTCAATTCTTATGAGTAAATATGTACAGGGCAAGTGCGTGTTTCATTTCTACAAGGTATAGTTGTACATGGCCTATTTACGGAGCACAGCTCGGATACAAAACCCGTGTACACATTTTTTGGCAACAAAAAAGACTGGCAAGCTGATTGCTCCTTCCTGAGATGGCAGAGTAGAAGGACGTGCTTCAAGCGTAGATCCCAAACATCTGCATCAAATCAGACACAAACACACATACACAACTTAGAGCGCAGTGGAAACACAGGAGAATATGAACAAAAACCATTACACAAAACGGGACTAGGCATAAGCTGGCCTCAGACATTGTCAGGTGAGAAAGTGGTTGACATCACTGCATGCTCTAGGCATGTCAGGATAGCGACGTTTCTTCACATCACTGGCCAGCTTTCAATGTCCCAAAGGACTTTGGGAGTCGACAAACAGTTAGGAGGATAAGAGAAAAAACCGGAGAAAGGGATAGAGGTGTGAGGGAAGGAGGGAGACGGAATGTCATGACACCAGCATGCGTGGGCAGAAACGGAACCCTCTCAGATGCTTACCGGAGGAAAAGGCTGAAACAGGAGTGCTAACAGCAGTTAGTGCGGAGGATCAGTGGTACACTGCTCGTCTACAGAAACGCCCGATGTCCGCAAGCCTGCATTAGGAATATTCAGAAAAGAGAGACGATATTTAAGAGTCGCGGAACTCAACGACGAGCAGGGAGGATCTGGGAGCTGAGAGGATTGTTGGTAGCCCGTTCGAGATTGCTGCAAACTGATATCATTGCGCAATCCCGGAGTAGGACTGTCTGCTCGATGTGCCTCCATCCTAAAACGTTTCATGCGACAAAATCGCACATGTCGTTCTGCCGAACGGAGGGAATGTTTAAAACAATAATGAGAACAATGCATGTTGATTTTAGAAGAAAACAAAGAAACAGTTAGATCCCAAATTAGGGAGCGGCCGCTAGTGCATGCGGCTCAGATCAAGAGATTCAACCGTTTTGTCCAATCGTCACAGTTCCCCCGAAAGGGATCGGCAGCGCGGATAAAGTCACATCATAGCCAGCACACCATTCACAGGGCTTTCAAGATAAACCAAAGAATGAAGGAGGCAAAGTAACGATTGAGAATGTGATGTGAAGTGGCTTGAATGCTCAGAGACAGAGGAAGGTTAAAATAACATCAATGATAATCAGTCAATTGACAGAAAAAACGTTTGCATCACAGCAAAGCAAGCCACCTCACAATGATGCAACGAAAATGGGTAGCGGTTCCAGGAAGCTAGGGAGCTCAGGAAAAATGAAACCAGTGCACATCACAGAGATCAGCAGCAGAACTGGCGTTTACTGGTTTGAGTATCATCAACGCTCCCCTACATTACTAAGACAAATATATCGACTATGAAACATGATGTTTACAAAATGAATCGACGGATTGAGAGCTGGACGGTAACCGGGACCTCAGTAAAAGCCGCTGTTTCTCTTCAGAAGTAGCAAGCTACTGATGTCAGACGGTAATTCCAATAGCGATCATCAACGGTCCCAGTGAACGAAAAAAAACGACTTGCCCCGGAAAAAGAAAAGAAAGAAAAGAGCTTTGCAGAACAATGCCAGAAAGAAAAGGGGAGTAGGAGAGGTACAGATCCGTCGAAACGAGAAATGGAAGATGTGATTACTCACGTCTGCTTCAGCTAGGAGGCCAGGCTAGGAGGGCTCCTCGCATTTGTAGTGCGATCGCACCGATCCAGCAAGACGCATGGCGTCGCATTTCACTTGCAGCAGATGGAGCCATCTTGTTAGGCCTTCTCTTCAGGACCAGCAATGATCATCCAAAACACAGAAACGAGGAGACGAGACGTCTTGGATGATGCGCCATCACCTCATGTCATGCTGTAGAGCCACCGCCTCAAATGGAGTGCTCCTCAAAGAGATGACTTGAGTCTGACTCATAACTCACATGGAATGCTCCCCAAAAAGCAACCACACAGAAGGGTGTGCTGAGAAACAGACGCGATTAGTCAACTGGGTGGGTTTTTATGAGGAGCGAGAGACGGGCGGAGAAAATGGCGGATTTATGAGGGGAAGAACTAGGGTTTTGGGTGCGGCTACATCAGAGAGATTGCTGTTAGCCTCGATACAGGCACGAGGAGTCGTGGATATTGTGTTGCGAATGTTTTGATACATGGCGTCGAGTGCATACATTACATGGAAACCCCGCAAGTACATGGCTGAAGCTAGAAGGAACAACCCACACCTGAATAACGAAGGCACCATTCCTTGGGTGATATATTCCCCAGCATTTACGTATCATTCGTTTGGCTAACCATTGCAGCTCAGCTGGCAGCTTTGTTTTTTGGGTGAATGCTAGATGTAGACAGGCAACAATTAAAGTGTATAAACATTGTCTCCGCCACCTAATCCTTCCGCTATCACCTACCCCTTGGCTTCGGCACCAAGGATGCAGGTTTTGCAACCCTAGGAAGAGCTGATCCACCCTTCCCTGCTCCCACCGCATTTCCCTTCTCCCCAACTGGTTCATCAGGGCTTGATGTGCTTGCAGCAGATGTGCCATTAGTGGGCATGGGCTCTCTACCCTCCTCTAGAAGCACGGCCTTGTGACTCAACCTCAGCTGGCCCCTGGCATTGATCTACATTGATGTTTTGGGACGAGAAGAGTGATGCGGGGGAAGGGGAAGGAAGGCAGAAAGGGGGGGGGGGGGGGAAGGGGGAAGGGAAGAAAGGGGAGGGAGAAGTGAAGAAAGCGGGGAGGGGGGTGGGGGGGGGGGGAGACAGGGGCGGGGGGTGTGTGTAGGCATGAGAAATCAGAAAGCGGAGGATTATGAGCATGCGGGGAGAGGGGGAAGGCTTGATTGTCAAGTAAGCGGGCCTTTCGTGGAGTTGGAAAGGAAAGCAGTGGACTGAACCAGTCATTGCTACAGAATTTGTATGCGATGGTGAATATACCGAAGGCATGCCAGCTCACTTCACGAGTCTATCTTGACACCAAGGGTTGTACCCTTACAAGGTGACTACATACTGTTCGGAACAGAGACAATACTGTATGCGGGGTGACTATATCGAGACGTGCACGCACTCACCTCTAGAACCTTGATGTTAAGATCATTCCCCAGTGCCACAAACCGAGTGAATATTGTTTGGAACAGAGACGAAACTGTACACAGCAGTGACTATATTGAGATGTGCACACCCTCACCTCAAGAATCTTGACGTCAAGAGTATCCCCAACCGCTACAAACTGATGGCCAGAGGAAGGAGGAGGGAGGGAGGGTGTCCAAAGAAAGAAACAACATGAGATGGGGTTAAGTGAAGGAGGACGGCAGAGGTACGGGTGAAGAGGGAGAAGTGAGAGCAGTAAGAAAAAAGGAGGGTGGCAGGAAAGGGACAGTGCACTGACATAGTAGGGGACAGTGACACATGTGGTTGGCCCTTAGGCGATGGAGATACTATGACATGCTAGCAAGCAGCAAATGGTGTGTCAACAGACATGCATCATGAGGTCAGACTTTTGAGACGTCTCAAAACTCAACCATGACATGCTAGCAGCGGATGGTGTGTCAACAGACATGCATAATGAGGTTAGTGAGGGTTCATGGAGAGCAACGTACATCTTCCGACTTGTTGAGGCGCACGGTGGAGAGCTCACTGATGTGAACGAGAGCCTGGGGGGGGAGAACGGGGGGAGGGGGGAGGGGGGAGGGGAGAGAGTGGTGGTTGGAGAGAGGGGAGAAGTATGTGATTTCACGAGGTGAAGCTGAGGCGCACGGTGGAGAGCTCACTGATGTGAACGAGGGCCTGGGGGGGGAGAAAGGGGGGAGGGGAGAGATAGGTGGTTGGAGAAGGGAGAGGCTTGTGCGAGGTGAAGCTGAGGCGCACGGTGGAGAGCTCGCTTTGGGGATCAGGGCTCGAGAAAAGGAAGAGATGGAGGAAGCAAGGGAGAGATGGAGGAAGCAAGGGATTTGATCCAGAGCTCGGAGGAGAGAACAGAGATCCAAGCTCCACGCATCCCGTTACATCCTCCACGCATCCCGTTACATCCTCCACGCACCCCGTTACATCCTCCACGCATCCCGTTACATCCTCCACGCATCCCGTTACATCCTCCACGCATCCCATAACATCCAAGCTCCACACATCCCACGGACGTTCCCCCCCCATTCCCCCCTCATCCCTAACCTTGTTTCCTGGATTAAGCTCCACGAAAGCACCGTACGGAACGGCTATATTCACAGCACAACACCATTCCCTCGCCAAGTCTCTGTTTCCTCTCTCCTTTCCCCTCTCCTTCCCCCCTCTCTCCTTTCCCCTCTCTCCTTCCCCCCTCTCTCCCTCCCCCCTCTCTCCCTCCCCCCTCTCTCCTTCCCCCCTCTCTCCTTCCCCCTCTCTTCTTTCCCCTCTCTTCTTTCCCCTCTCTTCTTTCCCCTCTCTTCTTTCCCCTCTCTTCTTTCCCCTCTTCTTTCCCCCTCTCCCCTACCCCATCCCTCCCCCTCCCGCCTCACCTCTTTCCCTGGCTTCAACTCCACAAAAGCGCCGTACGGCACAACAGTCTTCACGACACAATTTCTGCACACAGGAGGGGAAGGGGCGCCATGGGGGCAATGCGGGTGGGGCACATGGGGGGGACACGGTGTTTAGTTTCCTGCACCCCCCAATCTCTCATAGCCCGGCACACTGGCATTTCCTGTTACTGTCACACTGCTGTGCGTCCTTGAGACACACACACATTACAGTCACACCCATTACAGCCACACCCACCTGTAGATGGCGCCCACTTCAGGCACCATGGTGAGCCCCTCTATCCGCGCCTTCGCCAGCTCTAGCGCCTGCTCCGACCGCGCGTAGATACGCAGCTGGGGGGAGGGGTGAACGGGCGGGGATGGGGGGAAGAGGGGACGAGGGAGGGGAGGGGGGGGGGGGGGGGGGGGTGATGTGTAGGCAGCTCTAGCGCTCCACTAAGGAAGGGGTGGAAGGGGGAGGGGAGCGGGGGAAAGAGGGAACGAGGGCGGGGAGGGGGGGGGGGGGGTGATGTGTAGGCAGCTCTAGCGCCTGCACCGACTGCGCATAGATGCGCAGCTGGGTGGAGGGGTGGAAGGGGGATGGAAGGGGGGGGGGTGTGGAACAGGGGAGGATTGACTTATTGGGTTCCCTTGGCCAGCTCTAGCTAGCAACTGCACCGACTGAGTGTAGCGTAGATGCGCAGCTGGGTGGAGGTTTGGGGGGATGGGGGGCGGAATGGGTGTGGGGTAACTGCAGAGCAATTGACTCATGCTGGAAACCACATGCTGTTAGCCACATGCTGGTAACCACTGGCTGGTAACCACATCCTGTCAACCACTTATGGTAACCAACCACATGCTGGTAACCGAAATGATTCGTAAACGCAAACTAAAAGAAAATATCTGACCATGTACCCTACCTGTCTGCCATCCACTCACCATGGAACCACATGCTGGTAACCACATGCTGGTAACCACATGCTGGTAACCAGAATCACTCATACCTGTCCGCCGTCCTCAATGTTAATGGAGTCCACCCCCGACTCCTCGATTATACTCTTTATAGTCTTGCCGCCACTGCCAATTACCAGATTCACCTTCTCGGGGTCAACCTGCGAGGGGAGAGACGAGGGGAGAGACGAGGGAGAGACGAGGGGAGAGACGAGGGGAGAGACGAGGGGAGAGACGAGGGGAGAGACGAGGGGAGAGACGAGGGGAGAGACGAGGGGAGAGACGAGGGGAGAGACGAGGGGAATGACGGGAGTGGACAGGGGAGCAAAGAGAATGAGGAGGGGAGTGAAGAGTAGAAGTGCATTAGAAGGAAAGAAGAAAGAAAGAACGAAAGAAAGAAAAAAGTCCTCTGCCAATCACAACAGGAGCATTTACTTACGTGTAAGTTCAGTTGTTGATTGTACTGAGAGGCAACACAATGGTATGCAGCCAAGTCAACGTTGGCGTGCAAATCAACATCCCCCCATATCACTCAATCCTCCCCTGCCTGCCCGTACACCTCTGCTCACATGCATTGCCCCACATCTCTCCTCACCTGAGGGCTCTCGCACCGGGGGGCATATTGCGAGAGGTCATTGGACCAGGGCGGATCCGCCTTTGCCATCTCACCTGCACCCCCCCCTCCCACGTCTCTGCTCACCTGTAAATCCCCGAGCAAACAAATCAGCTGCTCCTCACCTGAAGGCTCTCGCACCGGGGGGCGTACTGCGAGAGGCTGTTGGACGGGGGCGGCTGGGACTTTGCCATCTCACCTGCACGCAAGCATGGGTGCACGGGTGGGGGATGTATGAGTGGTTTGGCAGAGTATTCTATTTTTAATTCCCAGAAACACCCTGCACAATCGAGGTTGTTGGACAAAAGCGGCTCGGCATGCGCCATCTCACCTGCATACGAGAACGGGAGCATGGGAGCATGGGAGCACGGGAGCGGAGTATGGGTGTGCACGGTGGGTGGATGGATGATGTATGACCCACCCAGTCCCACCAGTCCCACTCAGTCCCACTCACCCAGTATGTGCAGCCGTCCCTCCTTGGCCCGTGCCAGCGCCACCAGCATCACATCGAGAGCGATCCCCTGCACCTTGATGGCCATCTGGAACGCCGTCACACCCTGCGCACTGCCCGCCACTTTAAAGTCCAAGTCCCCCAGGGCGTCCTCTGACCCCAGAATCTGAACCAGCCCCTCCTTACATTGAATACCCGTGGTCACCACCACTCACCCAGTATGTGCAGGCGCCCCTCCTTGGCCCTCGCCAGTGCAGTGCGCATCACATCGATAGTGATTCCTTGAACTTTAATATCCATCTGGAACGCCGTCACCCCCTGCGCACTGCCCGCCACTTTAAAGTCCATATCCCCCAAGGCGTCCTCTGAGCCCAGAATGTCTGTAAGGATGACAGGGGTGCCGTCGCCCCCTGCTTCTTCCGTGCGGAGAATGAGGCCCATGGCCACTCCTGCTACAGGGGAGTGCAGTGGCACCCCTGCATCGAGCATGGCGAGGCACCCGCCGCACACAGATGCCATGCTGGTGTGTGGGAGGGGAGGGGGGAGGCAGCAAGGAGGGAGGGAGGGGGAGTGGTTGGTGGGTGCAAAACGATAAGGGGAAGTCCATATCCCCCAGGGCGTCCTCTGAGCCCAGAATGTCCGTTAGGATGACAGGGGTGCCGTCGCCCCCTGCTTCCTCAGTGCGGAGGATCAGCCCCATGGCCACCCCGGCTACAGGGGCACGGAGTGGCACTCCTGCGTCCAGCATTGCGAGACAACCGCCACACACAGATGCCGTGCTGATGGAATGGGGGGAGCAAGGTGAAGGAGAGGGGAAACGGTAGGGAGGATCAGCCCCATGGCCACCCCGGCTAAAGGGGCGCGCAGTGGCACCCCTGCGTCCAGCATGGCGAGGCAGCCGCCACACACAGACGCCATGCTGGAGGGGTGTGGAGAAGGAGGAAGGCGAGGGGAAAGAGTGGGGAAACTGAGGGCAAAGATGTTGGTTGCAGCCACTTTGAAGTCCGTGTTATCCAGGGCGTCCTCCGACCCCAGAACAGCGCCTGCCAGAATAACCTACTGCACTATAACGAGTACAGCGCCTGCCAGAATAACCTACTGCACTAAAGCGAGTACAGCGCCTGCCTATCTCACCTGGACAACCTGTTGCTCTCAGTGATAGTGGACTCCACTCGCAAGGTGTAGTGGAAAGCCGTGGCATCCGGCAGCACGGGCTCCACGGACCGCACCTGGACGACCCGTTGCTCTCAGTGATGGTGGATTCCACCCGCACGGTGTAGGGGAAAGCCATGGCGTCTGGCAGCACAGCATGGGCTCCAGAGAGGCCAGCCAGGGAGCACCGACAGCAATCTATTGAGTGTGATGCTGGCCCCTCACCTGGACGACCCGTTGCTCTCAGTAATGGTGGATTCCACTCGCACGGTGTAGGGGAAGGCCGTGGCGTCTGGCAGCACGGCATGGGCTCCAGAGAGGCCAGCCAGGGAGCACCTACAGCAATCTATTGAGTGTGATGCTGGCCCCTCACCTGGACGACCCGTTGCTCTCAGTGATGGTGGATTCCACCCGCACGGTGTAGGGGAAGGCCGTGGCGTCTGGCAGCACGGGCTCCAAGGACCGCTCAGCTAGAGCGCCGTGCCCCACCTCCCTGCGGCTGGTGAACCCCGCACGACCGGTCTCACCCACAGAGGAAGGGGGGAAGGTGTACTGCACGTGGGAGGAAAGGGGCGAGAAGGAAACGGAATAAATTAGGTGATTGCGCTGCCAGGGTGCTGTGGCCCACCTCCCTGCGGCTGGTGAACCCGGCACGACTGGTCTCGGGGAAGGTGGGAAGGTGTACTGCGTGTGGGGACGAGAGGTGGAGGGGTAGGTTAGGCAGAGCGGTGAAAGAAAGAGATAAGTAATGGCTGCGGCAGCTCCTGTGCTAAAATTGGTACCCAACCCACAGAAATACAACCAAACACCATGATAAGCACCTAAGGTGGCAGTGAGTTGGACCAACCGCTGCACATTGTCCTCCCCACCTAGCGTCAGCAATCACACGCCACTACAACCCCACACTGTTACATTCACCCCCACTAGAGTCACATCTGACTGAACTGCAGGTAGAATCGCTTCAGCACCGAGGTAGCAGTGAGATGGTCCAGCTGCCGTGCTCTGTCCTCCCCTCCCCCTAGTGTCCCCTCACCACACACACCACCACAGCACTGCACCACCAGCAGGCATACAGCATTGCACCCTCAGGTACAACAGCGGCTGGCAATGCATCCCCATACATCCCACCTGCAGGTAGAATCGCTTGAACTCTGTGGTGGCTGTGAGATGGTCCAGCCGCTGCGCACTGTCCTCCCCTCCTAGCGTCGCCACAGCCAGCGCCTGGGAAGGTGGGGTGGGAACAAGCAAGGAGAGGAGAGGAGAGGAGAGGAGAGGAGAGGCAATCAGTGTGTGAAGTTTAATATGGTCCAGCCACTGCGCACCCACTGTCCTCCCCTCCTAGCGTCGCCACAGCCAGCGCCTGGGAGGGTGGGTTGTGAACAGACAAGATGTGAGCTCTGATCTCACTAAGCCGACTTGGCCGCTGAGATGGTCCAGCCGCTGCGCACTGTCCTCCCCTCCTAGCGTTGCCACTCCCAGAGCTTCAGAAGGAATGACCCTGGAGAGCAGCAAAAAATGAGAAGCACCTATAAATTGGCCGCTAAGCAATCTCCTCCCCTCCTAGCGTTGGGAGCACTGCCACTCCTAGAGCTTCAGAAGGAATCAATATGGGGAGCGACAGAAAATGAAAGCACCTAAAACAACACACTCGACCTATGTTCCAACGTGGCCGCCACATGCCTATGAGTCTGTTTTTGAGTCGACTCAAAAGGAGCGGCAGAAAATGAGAAGCACCTTCCCACCCACACTCTTTCCCTAACCCACCTGCGTTTCGCCTCTGGTGAACAGGGCACTGCCATGGACACGTGGCAGAATGCCACAGGCTGACTCTATGGGGCGGATATCGCTGGGCCCGCGACCATCGCTGCGCCGACCCTCCTGTGGGATGGGGATGGGGCATGGAATCGGGCATGGGCGGGGCATGGGACATGGGACATGGGGCATGGGGCATTGGGCATGGGACATGGGGCATTGGGCATTCAGCATGGGACATGGGGCATGGGGCGGGCATGGGGCATGGGGCATGGGGCATGGGGCATCGGGCATGGGGCATGGGGCATGGAACGTGGGGCATGGGGCATGGGGCATGGGCATGGGGCATGGGGCATGGGGCATGGGGCATGGGGCATGGGGCATGGGGCATGGGGCATGGGGCATGGGGCATGGCGCATGGGGCATGGGGCATGGGGCATGGGCATGGGCATGGGGCATGGGGCATGGGGCATGGGGCATGGGCATGGGGCATGGGGCATGGGGCATGGAGCATGGGGCGTGGGCAGAGAGATCCACAGCGCCAAATAACGCCTGCCCCACGTGCGCCCTCCCTCCCGATCCCCCTCCTGCATATAGGCGTATAGGAAAACAGACACTCACCGTGACAACAATGCGCCGCATAATCCTGAAAGTGAGCTACTTGAGCTGCTTCTTCACATCACATCCACTACGTCGTATGCCGCCTCCGCCCCATGCTGCCATGCGCTCTCCCTCTCATTCTAAGCCCATCACAATGAAGCAAGTACTGTGCATACCGTGGCATCAATGCAGCGCATGATCCGTGACATCAGCTCCTTGAGCTGCTTCTTCAAGTCACATCCACTACATTGTATGCTGCCTCCACCATATGCTGCCATGCAGCAGTCTGCCTCCCATTCGAAGGCCCCTTAGAACGAAAACAGACACTCACCGTGACAACAATGCGCCGCAAGATCCTGGAAGTGCTTCTTGAGTTACTTCTTCACATCACATCCACTACATCGTATGCTGCCTCCACCACATGCTGCTGCCATGCGCTCTCCCTCTCATTCTAAGGCCCATCACAATGAAGCAAGTACTGTGCATAACGTGGCAGCAATGCGGCGCATGATCCGTGACGTCAGCTCCTTGAGCTGCTTCTTCACTTCACATCCTCCACTACGTCATATTATAAGCCGCCTCCACTCCACCACATGCTGCCATGCAGCGGTCTGCCTCCCATTCTAAGGCCCCTCAAAACGAAACCAGGCCCTCACCGTGACAACGATTCGCCTCATGATCCTGGAAGTGAGCTCTTTCAACTGCTTCTTCACGTCCACCACGTCATATGCAACCTCCACCACATGCGCCTGCTTCCCCTTCCCCGTCCCCGTCCCCACCCCTGTGCCTGTGACCTTCACATGCACCTCCCCCTCGTCCACGTCCCCTGGAGGCACAACGATCCCCTCCTCCTCTGCCAGCTCTGCCTCCTCGTCCTCCTCTGTGGCCGCCTGCATTGTGGTGCAGATGGGTGCAATGCGGTGATAATGGTTGCAACGGGGAGAAAGATTGAAAGAGTGAAAGAGGGGGTCAAGCAAGCAAGCACATGCACCTCCCCCTCGTCCACGTCCACTGGAGGCACAACGATCCCCTCTTCCTCTGCCAGCTCTGCCTCCTCGTCCGCCTCTGTGGCCGCCTGTGATGGGTGTGATGCGGTGGAGATGGGTAACATGCAGTGGGAGGGGGTGCAACGGGTTAAAAGTGGGGTCAAGCGAGCACATGCACCTCCCCCATCCCTTCCTCCTCTGCCAATTCTGCCTCCTCGTCCTCCTCTGTGGCTGCCTGCCTGTGTGCTGTGCCATGTGCGGAAGATGGGTAGAATGCGGTAGAGGGGGGTGTAGATGGCTGTGTGCAACAGGGAGGAAGAATGATGAAGGAATGAAGCATTATCCCAGGCAGAAACAGAGGCAGCTTCATCAAACCCCGCATTCACTTGCTCTGGAGGAACCACCTGCACAGCCACACTAACCATGCCGACCCTTAAGCCCTCACCTTTCTCACTGCTGCCTGCCTTCCCCTCTCCAACCAGGCCCCCCGGCACCCCCCCGGCACCCCCCGGCACCCCCCCGGCATCCCCCGGCACCCCCCGGCACCCCCGGCACCCCCCCGGCACCCCCCCAGCACCTGCTTCTCAATCTCCGTAATCACCGAAGACCACTTCTCCTTATACCACGCCATATGCTGCCCTCTAGATCACTAGCCTTTCAATCGCTCACCTTCCTCGTGGCAGCCTGCCCGTCCTCTGTCAGTCGCCCACGCACCTGCTCCTCTATCTCCGTAATCACTGCCCATCTCCGCTTCTTCGCCTCAATCCTCAGAGCCCCCTCCAGATCCGCCCTGCCAGGGCCCCTGGCTGGAGGTGTCCCTGCCTGCCAGGGCAGGGCCTCTGGTCCCACCTTTCCCACATTGGCTCACCTGTGACCCTCCTACATCGACTCACCTTTCTCAAGGCAGCCTGCCCCTCCTCTGTCAGCGCGCCCAGCACCCTCTCCTCAACCGCCTTCATAGCCGCCCCTCGCTGCTTCTTCGCCTCAATCCTCAGCGCCCCCTCCAGGTCCGCCCCTACGAGGGCCTCGAGCCTGGCGAGCAGGTCCGGGGGGGGCGAGTGGATGGCTGCTGTGCGCTTGGGCTTGCCCACTCCCTCCACCTCGCGGGTCCACTTGTGTAAGCCATGGCAAATCGCACTGATGGCTTGCTGTTTGTGTGAGGAGGAGGGGGAAACGAGGACGGGGGGGGTAGGTTAGAGCAGGTGGCGAGTGGATGGCTGCTGTGAGCTTCGGCTTCGGCTTGCCTCGCGGTCCACTTGTGTAAGCCATGGCAAATCGCACTGATGGCTTGCTGTGTGTGTGTGTGAGGAAGGGGGGGGAAACGAGGAAGGGTGGGGGGGGCAGGTTAGAGCAGGCGGCGAGTGGATGGCTGCTGTGAGCGTCGGCTTCGCCACTCCCTCCACATCGTGGGTCCACTTGTGCAGGGCGTGGCAATTGGCGCTAATGGCTTGCTGCGCGCACGCAGTGTGTGTGTGTGAGTGCGTGTGCCGGATGGGGTGATTATTATGGGCATGGTCCCACAGATAAATGATTGAGAACGAGCACACGCCTATGCCAACCGATCCAATCTCAACAGGTTCCCCAACGCTCAGTCTCCACACCATCACCATCACCGCACCGCACCACTTCACATACCACACAACCACTCCCCATCACCTCCCTGACCCCGTCTCATCGGCCTCTCTTCCTGCCCACCTGCCCCTTGACTCTCTCTCCCTACCCACCGGCTCACCTGTTGCCCTCTTCCACCCACCTGTCCTGCTTGCACCGCCTCCAGCAGCTGTTCCTCAGACAGAAGATTGCAATAGCCCTGGCAGGAGGAGGGGGGAATGGAAGAGCAAAAGGTGTGATGAAGAGGTGGAGGGGAAGGAAGGAGCGAGCAAGCAGGGGAAGATTGCAGCGCCTTCCGTAGCTACCAGCAGCTGTTCCTCAGACAGAAGATTGCAATAGCCATGGCATTGGGAAACAAGGGAAGCCACGGGGGGGGGGGGCGAGAGATGGTGAGGAAATGTGGAAGAGGGCGGATAGCAGGGGAAGAGGAAACACACGGAGCTAACCATAACGTTGAGAACAAACTTTCCCCACTTCCTTTCTACTTATTCGCTCCTTCCCCCCCCCTCTCTCCCCTCACCCCTCCCATCAGGTCCAGGGTTTTGGATTGACTCTACGTAGATCGTGAGCACGGAGTTGGTGGTGCCAGCCACCACCAGGTCCAGCAGCGACCCCTTCCGCTGCTGGTAGGGGGTCATTACAGCCATGCAACCTTTCACCTCTATCTTTACCTCTTGCCCCCTTCTCTCCCTCTCCCCCCACCCTTCACCTCGATCATGAGCACAGAGTCGGTGGTGCCAGCCACCACCAGGTCCAGCTGCGACCCCTTCAGCTGCTCGTTGGTTGGATTCACCACTAGAGCGCCGTTCACCATGCCCACACGCACCCCCGCCACTATGCCCGCTAGGGGGATATCCGATACAGCTCTGGGGAAAAGGGTGGGGAGGGTAGGGAATGGTTGAAAAGTTGTTGGTTGGTTGGATTTACCACAAGCGGGCCGTTCACCTCACCATGCCCACACGCAATCCCACTACTACGCCTGCTAGGGGGATGTCAGACACACGGCGCTGAGAAGGAAGGGGAAAAGGAAGGGGGTGTGGAGAAGCGATGGGGAAAGATTTGATTGGATTCACCACTGGAGCGCCGTTCGCCCTGCCAAAGATTTGGTTGCACGCACTCCCGCTACTATACCCCCAAAAAAAATATTTGCACCGTATTTTGGATGTCCAAAATAGAATTGGGGAAAGGGTGGGGGAGGGCGCGTGGAGGGTGAGGAAAGGTGGGAGAGGTTTGGTTGGACTGTTCAGCTACCCCTACCTACCAGGGCGCAACACACGCAATCCCGCTACAATGAACTTGTGGGAATGCAGTGAGGACAGGGAAAAAAGAGCACAAGAGAGCAGGAAAGCATAGGAGGCTGCTTACAGAGCAGCGCCAGCCGCAGTGATGGCAAGGGCGTCAGGGCTATGCTCCCCATCGTAGCTCAGCAGCTGGGACTCGGGACGGACGGGGAGAGAAAAGGGACAGCTGGGGTGTTTTAGAAAAGGGTTCGAGACGTGCTTCTGAGCGAAGGAAGGAGGCCAAACAGCTTTGATTCTGCTATGGCAAGGGCGTGAGGGCTGTGCTCCCCGTCGATGCTTTGCTCAGTAGCTGAGGATCACGACGGGAAGAGAAAAGGGTGGACCGGAGAGAAAGGGTGGACCGGAGAGAAAAGGGTGGACCGGAGAGAAAAGGGTGGACCGGAGAGAAAAGGGTGGACCGGAGAGAAAAGGGTGGACCGGAGAGAAAAGGGTGGACCGGAGAGAAAGGGTGGACCGGAGAGAAAGGGTGGACCGGAGAGAAAGGGTGGACCGGAGAGAAAGGGTGGACCGGAGAGAAAGGGTGGACCGGAGAGAAAGGGTGGACCGGAGAGAAAGGGTGGACCGGAGAGAAAGGGTGGACCGGAGGACAAGGGTGGGCCGGAGGAAAAGGGTGGACCGGAGGAAAAGGGTGGACCGGAGGATAAGAAGGGTGGGAAGACAGAGGTGAATTTCCAGGCCACGCAATACGAGAATGGGGGTGCGTGTTACTCACACACATCGATCCATAGACGGATACAAGGCAAGGATAACGAGGCGGAAAGATGCACCCAAGGGAACGTCTTAATTCCACTCCCTGCGTCGACTACACTTCCACCCTTTTCTGACTCACCCATGATAGGACCTGCACTTCGTGGTTGAAGCCCTTGGCCACCATGGGGCGTAGAGGGCGGTCAATGAGGCGAGATACCAGAATCTGGTAAGTCGATGTTTGTGTGTGGCGAGGGGGAGGGGAAGGGGGAAGGGGGGGAGGGAAAGGGGGAAGGGGGGGAGGGGGAGAGTAGAAAGAAAGATCATGTGAGACGTTACAAGAGCACTTCGTGGTTGAACCCCTTGGCCACCATGGGCCGTAGAGGGCGGTCGAAGAGGCGAGACACGAGAATCTGATGACATGGGAGACGCGAGAAAGGGAAACAAAAGGAGACAAAGTACAACCGCAGACACTAAGCCCAGCATCACAAGGTAGCCTTACACAATTTCAGCCAGACAACGGTCAGACCAGGAGTGTCTGCTCCCATTCACAGTCTCGTTTAAAAACGTTATAAAGCAGGGGCACTGGTCGCACCTCCTAGTAAGGCTTTGCCAGGGGCGCTGCGCTGATCATACCTCGTGGTCTTTGGGACGGCCTTCCCTCTTGAAATATCCTCCACTGCAGCATTTGGGATGGGCGCAGAGCAGAGCAGGACGTTGAGGTTGAGGCACGAACGGGACAGCAGGCATAGAGGAGGAGGGGGGAGGAATGCCACAGGATGAGCCAAAGCGGGTGATGGAACGAAAGGCATGAGGTGGGTGACTAGATTAGACGAGGGCGAGGCACGAGACAGCGGGCATAGAGGATAGAGGAGGAGGAATGCCACAGGATGAGCCAAAACGGGCGATGGAACGAGAGGCATGGGGTGGGTGGGAGGATTAGAAGAGGGCGTGGACACGAAACTGCAAACACGTTTCTGCCTTGAGCCAGAGCTGGCGTTAAGGGGGGTGTTTAAGCATCCCACCTGGTGTGCCCCTCAGCACTGAATCTCTCCTGGTAGCTGACAGAGAGAGAGAGGCACGAAGCCGATTTTCAAGCGTCTCAAGCCATACTACTCCCTATTCCGCCATCACGCACGCTCATTCATCCACCCCCACACACCCCTCACCTGGTGCGGCCCTTGGGTCAAACTCACCTGGTGCGGCCCTTGGGTCAAACTCACCTGGTGCGGCCCTTGGGTCAAACTCACCTGGTGCGGCCCTTGGGTCAAACTCACCTGGTGCGGCCCTTGGGTCAAACTCACCTGGTGCGGCCCTTGGGTCAAACTCACCTGGTGCGGCCCTTGGGTCGAACTCACCTGGTGCGGCCCTTGGGTCAAACTCACCTGGTGCGACCCCCAGCGCTGAACCTCTCCTGGTAGTTGACAGAAAGAGGCACGAAATCCGAGGGCTCGCTCTCCTCCTCTGACGCGCACACCGTGCAGTACAGCACCTGTAGCATCGACGGTGCAGCGTGGTTCACATGGGGGTAGAAACGGGAGCGAGGGATGGGAGTAGGATTGTAGGGGAGGTGGCGGATGACTGGGAGGGGAAATTTCTCTGTAAGAATCTGGTCAGCCGTGCTAGTGAGCTACTAGCGATGCTGGCTGCAGTCGATGACGACATCGTATAAGTGACATTTCAGAATCTATAAGCCCTACGTGAGGTTTCACCGTCTAAAGTCACTCACCGTCTCTCCATCCGTTACAGTCACAGCGCCGTTGGCCTGCCGACCCATCCGTCCAACCTCGACGGTGATCTGAGAAGCCGAGTGCGGAAACCCGAAAGAGAAGACAGGACGAATGAGAGGGATAAGTGCGAGAAATATAGGAAGCATCTAAACGCTATGCTTGGAACTTATAACTAGCCGCACCTCTCGATCCCCAAACGGTATGGAAACGGATCGAGGACGAAGAAGCGGACCGTCGGTGGTCAGCCTGTCATTGACATTGGCTGTTGCTGCAACCCGTGGAGTTTCAGCGACCGCATCGCTGGTGTCCTCTGCACGAGCGCGACCCGGCAATCCCGAGGCTCGCCGTTTCGAAACCCTGTGGTTGCGGTTCGCTTTCGGGACGCTTCCCAAAAAGCTGCTTCGCATTGGGATGCTGGTCAACAGAGAAGCGGGTGAATGTCTATCTGTCAATCCTTGCACGGTGCATGGATACGGCAAGCTTTTGGCCGTCATGCAGCCAGCAGCGCTGGCGCACAGCACTTGAGTCATGACGAATAGAAATTAATCCGAGATACCAGGCTGACTGGGGCTGGAATGCTCTGATCGGAATCGACGGCTAGAAACAAAAGAGGATTCTGACCAATCCAGCAGCTCCCGCGGAACGATGAGAGAAAGAATGCGAGACACAGAAGACTGGCGAGACGACGATCAACGCGTTACCAGCTTTATGAATTCCCAATGGCTGAGGAAAGCGCAACGGCCGAGGCACAATCCCCAATGCTTTTGTCAGGAGAACCACAGATAGTGGCGTTATTATTGATCAAGCCAAAAGTAGTGCATAATGTCCCCCTCCTCCTTCCCCCCTCCTCCCCCTTCCCCCAGGCTGGAAGGGAATGGGGGAGCGCCGCTCTGTTTGGCGGTGGGTCCGCTCTGCTCTGCTGCACCTGCCGCGGGACTTGGCGGGAAAGGCATTCCGCGGCCAGAGCCTGGCGCGATGATATCTAGGTTTGGGCGGGGGGAGCCTGGTCGGAAGTGTGCCACGTCGGCGGAAAAGCTCGCAGGGATTGCTCCAAAAAGCGGAACTGCCGCGTGGATAGCTTTGCTACTGTACGCGTCATAAGGGCACGCGTTTTCTCATCGAACCTGACACCAGGGATAACTGTATTGTGTTTTAGCTATATTGCTAGACTTTCCAGAATGCGGATGAACGTATCCAGCCATATTACTATATTGATGACAATATACACAGCATTTCAGAATCTGTTGCATTTCTTTCCATCATGGAACTCGGGAAAGAGAACGCATTACCGTAGGGCTCTCTACAAATTCACTTGGCCATCCATGGCTCCTCGCCTCTGCAGTTTCTCCCTATCGCTCTTGCAGCTCAGCTCGCGATTTCGCCCCCCTTCTTCCCCCTCCTGCTGTCTCGTGTTCGCGCCTCTCTAATCCCACCAGTTGCCCGTTATTAGCTTCACCCGACCGGAACGAGGTGACTTTGAGTGGACTCAAAAGTCATCTCTTGCTGTCGCGTCTTCGTGTCTCTCTAGTCGCACAAGTTCCCCGCTCGTCGCTTCACCCGATCGGAACGGGAGAATGCGGCTAGATACAGTGCCGTTAGAGAGAGTTCCGTTAGGGGATTGCCACTGGCTAGAAGGCCGTTAGAATGGTGCTGACTGCTAGCCTAGATTGATAACGAATCTCATTATGTTGACTTGCAGGAGATTCCGTGGCCGTTCTCCTCCGGCTCATTCAATGCCGCGTTTCACCTGCGCTTTCCTTTACTGGCGTTGGTGGCGATTCTTAGCGGTAGTAATGGTGCTCATGCTTGTAACGCGGATACATGCTCAAGGAGACGGGGGCCTGGAGCACGCCATGTCCTTATATCGGGTACAGAGTACAGCATTCAGCCTTTTTTGTTTCTGTACTTCGGATCTTTGGGCATATTTCCGTCATCGCCTTCTTTTTCGTTCCCCCGGCTTCACTTTCGTCAGTTCCCCCCACTTCCCCCCCACTCCTCGTTCCCCACGGATTCCCCCCTTCCCCTAACCATGCCCCCTCTTCCCCCACCGCTCCCCCTTCCCTTACCTGTTCCCCCAACAGGCATGGGAGGCGGCGTACGGGCTGCAGGCGGACTCCCCCCTTCCCCCTTCCGCCATCGCCCTCCCCGCACCTGTTCCCCCTCCCCCCCACCTGGAGGACTGCGTTGCGCTCACTGCCTGGCGCTGGGCGCAGGAGCAGGGGGAAGCGGGGGAAGGGCGGGGGGAAGGGAGGGATGGGGGAGTTTCAGGGCAAGGGGAAGAATCAGGAAAAGGGGGAAGACTAGGGGAGGGGGGAGAATCGGGGGAAGGCGCACAAGAAGGAGGGGGGAGGGGGAAGTTCCCCCAATGGGCGTCACAGGCCCACCCCCAGCCGCCCTGGATCCTGGGGTCGGACGCAGCCAATCTGGGGATGACACGTGTCGCTCAGCGGGACATCTGGGCCCACCAGTTCCTCCCTGGGGGCGACTGCAGCAAAGAACGCCTCCTGTTGGTGGACTGGCCGAGCTCGGCGCACGGGATTGGCTCTCAGCTTCACATTATGAGCGCTATTCTAAGCCTAGCTATGCGGTTTAAGAGGGTCATGGTTCCTACTCGAGGCTCCTTCACCCGAGCCAGTCACGCTGATTGCAATGGTAAGTTTTTAGGTGGATTGTAATGTACTGCTATGGCAGCTTATCTAGGTCAGCTTCACATTATGAGTGCTGTGCTGAGCCTAGGGATGCGGTTTAAGAGGGTTATGGTTTCTACTCGGGGTTCATTCACCAGAGCCAGTCACTTGGATTGCAACGGTGGGTTCGAATGCATTGCATTGGTAGTTTTGAGGCGCCTCAAAACCAGACTCCTATCACGCGAATGCATTGCATTGGAAAGGAGCGGACCAGAATGAGGGGTTTGGTATCTTACCTCGGGTGCACATTATGAGTGCTATTTTGAGCCTAGCGATTCTATTTACGAGAGTTTTGGTTCCTAGTCGGGGGTCTTTCACCCGAGCCAGTCACTCCGATTGCAATGGTAAGTAGTACTTTTCTTCTCCTCTTTCCTTCTATAAACTGAATTCGCTATAAGCTAGGATTTGCCGGACGCTTTTCTTCTCCTCTTTCCCCCTCCTCCCTGGTCCCCCTCACGCACATCCCGCCGTGAGGCGCCTCAAAACGCACATCCCGCGCTCCACTTTTTGAGGCGCCTGAAAAATGGACTCCCTGGTCCCCCTCTCCCACATCACTCCACTCTCCTTCTCACCCCCAACCCACTGCCAGCCACAGGCGCCTTCGGCTCCTTCCACTGGCTACTTCTTTCTGCTGCTACTTCCACAGGTGTCTTCCCCTTCTCCTCCAGCCCCCTGCCCCCCCTCCCTCCCCCATTCCCCTCCCCTTTCCCCCCCTCTTTTTCCACCCAAATCCAGCCACAGGCACCTTCGGTTCCTTCCACTGCTACTTCTTCCCCCTTGTTTCTCCTGCCTGTGAGCGTGAAGCTGAGCTGGCGGCGGCGGCCAATGAGGCGCTGCCACGTATGACGACGGACAGCAAGGAGGAGGTTCTAGCGTCAGAGCACAGAGTGGTGTGGTTCTATGGGGAGCCTTATAACGGATTACGCTTTGAAGGGGATGTCAGGTAACGAGAGGGAGAGAGAGGGAGTCAGGGATGGTAGCAAGGGGGTTTAAGGGAGTGCAGGGTGGGGCTTTTAGGGCAGAGCGTAGAGTGGTGTGCTTTTATGGGGAGCCTTATAATGGGTTACGCTTTGAAGGGGATGTCCGGTACTGAAAAGTGCTGGGTTTGGACAGGTAGTATCGGTGGGGAGAGAGTGGGGAGCTAAACAGCACAGACCTTGGTGGTTCCACAGAGGAAAGCCTTATAACGGATTATGCTTAGAAGTAATTTTGAGTCGACTCAAAATACAGAGGAAATCCTTATAACGGATTACGCTTTGAAGTAAATTTCAGGAGAGGAAAGGGCGGGGAGGGGGGGGGGGGGAGGGGGGGAGGGGATTAATGGGAGTAGAGTGGGAGAGGGAGGGGTCTTTGAGTTGCCAGGAAGGGGCTTCTGGCGTCAGAGGACAGAGCAACGTCTGTGAACCAACAACATGGTGCTTGCAGGGTTTGAGGGGGAAGGGGATGAGTCCACTGCAACCTCTGCTCTCACCCCAGGATGGAACTAGGATGAGTCCACTGCAACCTCTGCTCTCACCCCAGGATGGAACTAGGATGAGTCCACTGCAACCTCTGCTCTCACCCCAGGATGGAACTAGGATGAGGCCACTGCAACCTCTGCTCTCACCCCAGGATGGAACAAGGATGAGTCCACTGCAACCTCTGCTCTCACCCCAGGATGGAACTAGAATGAGTCCACTGCAACCTCTGCTCTCACCCCAGGATGGAACTAGGATGAGTCCACTGCAACCTCTGCTCTCACCCCAGGATGGAACTAGGATGAGTCCACTGCAACCTCTGCTCTCACCCCAGGATGGAACTAGGATGAGTCCACTGCAACCTCTGCTCTCACCCCAGGATGGAACTTGGGGGGTTCATGGGGGAGGGGAATGTAACCACTGTACCCTCCTTCCTTACCATCCGTTCTCTTCCCACACCCCCCAAGGGGCCAAGCGTGGCCCCCAGACCTGCTCGCGCTGCAGCAAGTGGCCCAACGCCTATCTGGGGAGGCCTAGTGGCATGGAGCTTGGGGGGTTCGTCGGGGAGGCGGATGAAACTGTGCCAACCTCCTTATCCTCCCATCTGTTCCCTTATGCCCATACCCGCTCGCGCTGCAGCAAGTGGCCCAATGCCTATCGGGAGAGGCCCAATAGCATGGAGTTTGGGGGGTTCGTGGGGGAGGGGGATGAGACGAGGCAGCGGGTTCACTGGTGGCGATCCCAGTCAATCCGCTTCATGCTGCGCTGGCCATCCGCCTATCTCTGCCACGTAACCAACCGCGTGCGCCACACGTCCTACGGGCTCTCAGTCGCTGCCCGCTTTGCCGCCTCTGCCGCCCAGCAGGCCGCCCTAGCCCGCTCCCACCCAGATATCTTGTCCTCGCTAAGAGCTGCTGCACCAGCATGTATTGGTGCGGGTGGAAGCACTAGCAGTGTCGGCAGTAGCAGTGATATTGAGGTCCCTGACATAAGCAGCAGTGACAGTAACTCTGGCAACACCAGCAGTGGTAACTCCAGCAGTGATTCTGCTGGTAACCCTACTGGTAACACTACTGGTAAATTTAGATCGACAGGAGGATTCCCACAGGTGGACGATGCTAGACATGGATGCACTTTGGAGTCGTGGGCCTGGGCAGAAAAGGGGCTCAGCGCCTGCAGCAGCAGCAGCAACAGCAGCAGCAGCTGCAGCAGTAGCAACAGTAGTTTTAGCACCAATGGCGTTCCCAACAGTAGCCCAAGTACAAGCAGCAGCAGTGGAGATAGAAGCGAGAGCCTGCTAGGGAGGTTTGGGAAAGGAGCTTCTGGAGCCGATGACCTCTCAACCTCCGGATATCTGTTTGTGGGTGCAGAGCCGTACATGCCGCGGCCGATAGTGAGCGTGCACGTGCGGCAGGGGGACAAGGGCAGTGAGATGACACTCAGCTCGTTCGCAGCCTTCATGTTCTTTGCGTATCGGTTGAGGCGGATAGAGCCCGACTTGAAGCACATCTGGCTCAGCACAGAAATGCAGGTGAGAGCGGCTCAGCACAGAAATGCAGGTGAGTGAGAAAGGTTTACTTTTCAGGTGGATATAGCCAGACTTGAAGCACTTTTGGCTCAGCACAGAGATGCAGGTGCGAGTGGGCTTGGCAGTAGATGCAGGTGAGTGAGAGTGGTCTCTTTCTGTGGTGCCTCAAGATAAGGTGGATAGAGCCAGGCTGGAAGCATTTTTGGATCAGCACAGAAATGTAGCTGGGAGTGGTGCAGGTGAGAGTGGTCTCTTTTCCTGTGTTCCGCTAGCCCTTCGTATCCACGGGCACCATTGTCTTGGTAATCTATCTCAACCCCTTGCTTCCCTGCTGGCGTTACCCTTTTTGGATCTAAATCCCAAACCCTGAGCCACTGTCTTTCCCACCAAAATGCAGGCAGTCATTGATGAAGCATCCCAATACAAGGACTGGTCGTTCCTGCACTCTCACAACCCACGACAAATTAGCAACAAGCGCATGGTTGATTATGAGACAGCTGTGGGACACCAGCTGGTTAGTATTAGCTTTGCTAATCTAATTATCTCCTCTCACTGCGATTACTTTGTGGGTGCATTGGGTTCAAATTGGAACAGATTGATTAATGAGTTGAGGGTGACAAATGGCCGGCTGTTTAGAGGATATGTAACACTAAACACGGGCGAGTTCTAATGTTGTATGCATTCCTGCACTGGAACCTGGGTACCAGAAGAGTAAGATCTTCATGGTACTCCACTCCACTCACAGAAAGGACACGGCATTTGCCAGGTTCCTCCTCAGTTTCACGATATCCACTGCCCTAGGTTGAGAATGCGGGATCTGGCTTGGCAGGCAACCACCCAGCAGCCTTGTGTTATGAACTGCACTACCTGTGGATGGATCTTGAAACAGATTCTGGTTGTCCTCGAGTTTCTGGTTCCCCTGTAACTCCATGCCTCCAACCAATCGCTTCAGCTCTTCAAGGTCCATAAGTGGAACCATGGTTGGCCTCCCGTGTGCGCACTGCACATATACATGGCAACCATAAATAGACATCGACTCAGCATTTTCAACACTAAAAATTTGCAACAAGAAGCTATGCAAATGTGCACCTGAAAGGGCAGCTGTGTGTGCTTCAAGCATTCAATCAGCTGGCAGCATTCAGATGTCTTTAGCATGTCTCCAAACATTATGGCACCTGCACAAATAGAACATAAGATATTGAAACTGCCGCAGAAACACTATGTGAGAAAAGCACTCATGAATCGTAACTTGCCTCTGCATGCTTTTGATGCCAGCATCAGCAGAACAGCCCGAGGTGGTGTGGATGCAACGCCTCCGGTTTCTTGAAGCTGCAAGTTCACAAACAAGTCATGAATCGACAGAAGCTGAGGCACATCAAGGAGGTGGACATAATACTAAACGAAATTATATAAGGCTGGTACATATTCTGTGTGTCCACTTACTTGCAGCAAGTAGTCTAGAATGTCTTCTGCACGAAGGGAGGTACCTAGCAAGTGTGGAACCTGCATGCGTAAGAAACGACGAGAAATTAGAATGAAGTGGAAAAGCCATAATGCTGAAAAGAAGAATGCTAAGGATTTTATACCGCTAGCACAAGTAACCGTTTTGGGGTGCACTGTGATGGTCCTGAATGCCTGGAAGGGAAGAGGGGGGGTAGAGGGAGTGGATGAAAGAAACATCTGCAAACAGGCATATTCCCCGACAAGAAGATGTGATGGTGGAACAATACAGAGCAGGAGAGCAGACATTTTTACCTTGATTGGCAAAGCACAGCCAAAGCGTCCGCTCCCACTTGAGTTGGACATTGTGTGCGGATACTCTTTTCTGCTTGGCTAGTAGACGAGAGCTTAAAACGCCATCCCCAGCGTTCTATCTGTCGTCGATATGACCTCAGACACCCCTCTTGCCCTGCTGTGATTGGCTGCGAATGACAAACATAGAAAATTAACATAACCAATTGGCGAGGAAGGCCAAGGCCTGACTTGTTGACCACGCCTGTCTCACCAAGTCAGAGGGTGAGTCAAGAAGCAGTGGCACCACAGCTGACTCGTTCTCCAGAACCTGCAGCACCATCAAAATATACAAGTGACTAAGCAACTGCATGTCACGTCAATTTCACTAGCATAAGTGCAACAAATAAAGAGATGTCACCTCTTTGCGGAGCTCCTCAAGACAAACCCTCTCATCTGCCGCATGCTGCAGACAAGTCCATCCTGAGTAAGTACCACGATACAGGAGATGCAGGCTCAAGCTTCTCAGTAAGCATCAACTGCTTACCTGATCAATCGCAACCACAGTAGAGCCAGATGTGGCAACCAGGAACTTTCCATCCACCTGATTCAGGCACTTTGCTTGAAGCAGGGTCTCCTTGGAAACAAAGGTTGGGATAAGAGGGCCGCGCTGCCTCCTGTGACTATCAAATTGCATGGATCTGGAAGCCAACGTCTGTAGGTCAAGAATTTCTGGCTCAAGTTCTTCCTTTCCAAGGATGCTGCTCTTGCACCAATGCTGCACCAAACAGTCAGATATGTTAAGTAAAGCAAAGAGAATGACCTAATACACAAGCACAGTACAGTATACCTACCTGGTACATTTCCTTCACAGATTTCGTTAAGCTTGGATTATTCTTCTCCGTGCATGCAGGCGCATGACCATCTCTCCACTTGGATGAACAGCAACAGCCTGCCACTTCATCAGCGTGATGAGCTTCTACAATAGCCAGATGTGCTGGTGCTGGAACGGATTCTTCTCTGCCATCCACTGGTCCAACATTTTGAACAACTGTAAGAAGTGCAGATGCCTGCTGATGCTTGCTACCTGCCTCCTCTGCAATCACCAAAGGCGAAGCAGCAAGCGCTCCAGGCATCAAGCCATGCTCCTGAATGCCTTTATTGGCTGGCTTTGCTGTTTCAGATACACCTGAAACGTTCCCACCGACATGTCAAGAACCGATATGTATCTTAACCAGAAAAAGCATACAATCTTCAACATGCTTACCTCCACATGAGACCAGACCCCATGTCTTATGTTTGTCATTTCCCACTGCACTTGGCTGCTTGTGGCTTGGCGGGTCTGGCGGGAGTTCAGAGGGCGGATCAATAAGCTCGACCACTTTCTTATACTCGAGTGAGCCAACAGCAGGGAACTCAGGAGCAATCACGGAGGGCTGCTGCAGATGTATGTCCTGGAGCGTCTGCATCCCAACTAACATCGACGCTTCATCTGGAACCTCTTCTGGGTCGATCACAGAAGGCGTTCGTGAAGAACCCTTGCCTTCAGAATGACGTACTCCCTCCAATAAGGCCCTCTTTCTTCGCTTTGGCACAGGCTCAGGAGATCGTTGGTCAGCATGGCCTGCTCTTTCAAAGAGGCATCGTGAGGTCCCAATGTCCAATCCATCTGGGTGTAACTGCCAATCATATCCCAACTGTCAGTTCAAAAGACTCACGCAGTGTTACTGTAACAGTACGCTGTAGGCCTTGTTACCTACCTGCAGATCCAGGGACCAATCATGCTGATTGGACGCAAGCAAGTCCAAGTCGTGATCCTTCCTGAACCTACTCCGGTTCCCTTCCGCTACTATAGATGGCACAAACGAATCTCTTGCTGATGCAAATGGCGAGACTTCAGGAGAAGCAGTGTCGACGACAGCGCGATAATCACGCTGCAAAGCCTTATTGGGAGAGGAAGGCTGATGAGTGCGCCAGCTTGCATTGTCAAGATTAATGTCAGGAGGCGAAGGCTGAGGAGTGCAGACACTATCTTGGTCAAGGTCCAGCTGACGTTTGTTGTCCCTCTGGGTGACGCTGGCTTCCCTTGCCTTGGAACGGAGGCTGTATGCGTTTTTTGACAGGTCAGGTAAGCTCTCGTCTGACTCTTCCGGGAAAATCAGGTGGCCGGTACCATGTCTGCCCTTCCTTGGTTTGTCCGATAGTGAAACACGATAACTTGGCCGGTAATTGGGATCAACCTTCTGCCATGGCTTCTGACTTTTCTTCTTCGTGGGTTGCAGAGTCGGGCCTGGAGAATGTGGATCACGCAACAAATGCATGTCAGAGGAACAGACAGTCTGCCGATCTTGACAATGCAGCCTCTTCACCAACCTGATTCAACCAAAGACGTTTTGCTGCATGACCACATGTCACTCAAAACCTCTTGAAAAAACTCCAGCACAGTCTTCCAGTTCTGCAATTTAGGTAGCACAGTTTTTAACTGTTCTCAAACAGCAAGACAAGGGCTGAAGTTAGTAGAGAATAAACATGACGTACCTTAAACTCCACATAGGTCTTCGTAGGCTCAAACGTGATGTCGTAAGATGACTGTGGGCATGATAGGTTGACAACAAACATCAAGTCTTGGAAACTGGTTAACTTCGAGCCAGCTTTGGAATGTAAGCTTAGCGATGTGGAGAAGCTAGAATTCAACAACTTGTGCAGTCGAGTGTGCTTCACCAGTCGCTTGTTAATGTCTGCCAAAAGAACCATCCAGCATAAGTACAAAAAAAACACGAGGCTAAAACACTTGAGCTTGAGGAGCAAGAAATATTACATAAGTACTGCACGTCTCTTGATGACTCCTGCTGTACAAGCTGCGAAATAAAACCCGACAGCCTCAAGTTGCCCTTTTGATAATCGATCTCTTTCATTGACTGAAGAATGGCAGCTCCAAACACATCTTTTATGCTGGAACCTACGGACCTTCCACCAGACAATGACAGCAGAGTCTTGCTCCTGCACAGATTCACAGAATGAATAAAACGGTATGTGAAGAATGAGGCTACCACAGAGACGTTCAGTTCCTACCTCTTACCTGGCAACATCCGACACCATGAATGAAACTTGTGGATGCATGAAACCCAAATGACCAACTCTGTCCTGAATGCTTTGAATCTCCTTTGATAAGCTAGACACAAGAAAACCAGACATGGGGTTAAGAAGAAAAATGAGATAAACAACACAGAAAAGTGTCACCCTGGTGCCTCCTCCCATAACCACGGAGGATGATCGACAATGAGAACAGTTGGTGAAGTGCACTAACTTCTTCTCCGCTAGTTGTTGCCTGACTGGTTGGTTGAAGAATATATCCTGAACAAGAACTGCAACACCAAACAACAAGGAAAAAGAGATCCGCTACTGTGAAATGAGGATGTCAACAGCAGGAGAGACCAGACAGACACCAACAACCAACCTGTTGTTCCAATTGATCGGTGCTTCTTTGTCATTCCGATGGAGAGTGTTCTTCCACCCTGCATCAGAGGTCCGTAAGCACAAGTTCATATTAAATCATAAACAGACTTAAATATAACGACCCACCTTGCAAATCTTGCAGTATGTGCTAGCAGACCCCTTCGAACGAGTCACAATCTCGACCAGCGAGAGGCCCATGATCGAGAAGAGTGCTTCTCCTCGAAATCCCAGTGTCGTGGGCCCCGCTTCAAGCTCCGTAATTGATTGGAGCTTCGATGTCGCTGTTGCCAGAAGCGAAGGTAAAAGATATGGCTTGACGAAAGTAACACGATCGACAAGGCTTCGACATGGTTCAACGCTTTTCTGACGCACCTTGACGCTCACCAAGAAGCACAAGGTCATCACGCGAGATACCACAGCCTGTAAACAGAGGATACGCGAATATGAAGCTAAATGTGGACACCTAGTCGGCCAACGACAAGCAGAGTCTACCATTACCATTGTCATCCACTCTAACCGTCACTGCTGATGAATCGACCGTAACAGTAACCTGCATACAGATCGTAGCGTGCGTATTATCTCTCTGCGTAGAAATCGAGCGGGAAATGAAATAGGCAGTTATAGCGTTCCCATGACACCGTTCACCTCCGTGGCTCCTGCATCGAGGCTGTTGCAAACTAGCTCTTCCGTAAGCTGCGATAGTGAAGGAACGACAACCGAAGACCTGACTTTCCTAGACACGTGCTCCGGAAGCTCCTGGATGAACGGCAAGGCCATGGTGGCTGCAAGAGATGCCTGCCCGACCTTGGGAATACTCTGACAAGAACAATCCTCTGACAAGCAATACTCCTCCCTGCTAGCATCCGATCCGTTACAGATTACGAAACCAATGAGTTAGCGGTGGAGTCGTAATTTCAAAACGTTTCAGAAGTGTTACGCTTCGTTGAAGTGACTTCAATGAACGTACACCTTCAAAACAAACCCCGCTAGCTGATCATAACGGGAAAAAATATTTGGTTTGGATTGCAGCACAAACTCCAAACCAAATATATTTCCCCAACGCCGCACTTAGCCAAGCTTCCTTCCCACTCCCCTTTGGTGTGCTCCCAGACAGAAGTCCCATCACCTAGCTCCTAGCCCTCGCGGCCCAGCCACCTAGCGCCTAGCCGCCCCGCTGGCCCCGCGGCCCCGTCACCTAGCGCCCAGCCGCCCGTGGCCCTGTCGCCCCGTCGCCCAGCGCCTAGCCGCCCCGTGGCCTAGCCCCCCCATGGCCTCGTCGCCCAGCCGCCCCGCGGCCTCGTCGTCCAGTCGGCCCGCGGCCCCGTCGCCCCGCTGCTCCGCAGCCCCGTCGCCCAGCCGCCCCGCGACCCGTCGCCCCGCTGCTCCGCAGCCCCGTCGCCCGGATGCCCCGCGGCCCTGTCGCCCAGCCGCCCTTCGACCCGTCGCCCCGCTGCTCCGCGGCCCCGTCGCTCGGCCGCCCCGCGGCCCCGTCTCCCAGCGGCTCTGCCGCCGTGTTTCCCGGTCCCCGCCCGCTTCACCGGCCCTCTCCACCGTCCTACACCGCGCCCCACCATTCTGCACCGCTCAGCATTGCATTGCACCGCACTGCACCGCGCCCCACCGTACTACACTGCGCCCCACCTCACTGCACCGCGCCCCACCGTACTGCACCGCTCTGCATTGTGTGGCACCGCACAGCACGGCACCCCACCGCACACCACCGCACTGCACCGTACAACACTCCTCCCCACTGCTCCTCATCGCTTCTTTACCGCCTGTTCGCGGCTGCATCGGCCTTCATGGCGGACTCGGTGCTACGCTTTGACGCGGAGGGTCAGCCGGTTGAGTTCGGCTCATGGCTCGTCGACCTCTGCCGTCACCTCACTGGTCAGCGGCAGGACGGCCACTCCCTGGCCGTCCACATTGACGGTACGCTCCCCTGCCGTGACCCCCCTGTTGCTCTCCTCGCTGACCCCACGTCTGCTGACCGTGAGTCCGCCGCCGCTGCTGCCCTTGCCCGTGCTGTCTGGCTATCGCGTGACACTGTCGCTCAGCTCGCGATTAGCCATGCCCCCCTCCTGTCTGAGCACCCCCGCTTTAAGTCGGTCAGGACTGCGTAGGAGTTCCTAGAGGCTGTTGTCGAGCATTATTCCACCCCGTCCTCTGCCTCTGCCGGTCACCTGATCCTTCCCATGCTCTTCCCTGATCTTGTGTCTTTCCCCACTGTCGCTGACCTGGCCACGCACCTGTGCACGCTCGACACTAGCTGCCGCGCTGCCTACACTGAGGCCCAGCTTCGTGTGTTCCAACCCCCTATCTGCTCTACCCTTTACTTGCTTGCCACCCGCCTCCCCGACCGCCTTGCCACTGCCCACGACCACTTTCTTAGTCTGCACCCCGCTGACCTCACCCTCTCTGACTTTGTCGACACCCTGTCTGCCATTGAGACCCATCAGCGCTCTATCGCCCAGTCTAGTGGTACTCGCCGGTCCCCATCTTTCAGGGTTGTGCCTCCGCTCAGTGCACTTACTCTGATGGTTCTACGGCTATCGTTGAGACAACCCCTGCTGCTGAGACCGCTGCCACGGTGGCCGCAGCGCAGCTCCATTAAGGTAAGGCCCGCCGCCCCAAGGCTGGGCGCGACGGTGGTAGTGGAGGAGGGGGTGGAGGTGGCGGTGGAGGTGGTTCATCCGCTGGCGTTAGTACTGACGAGGGGGCGGGGGCTGGTGCCTCGGAGCAGCAGCCCCAGCGGGAGCAGCAACAGGCGCCACAGCTTGACCAGCAGCAGTAGTCGCGGCGGAGGGTCGGCCACCTCTCGCCTGGGTGGCCTGGCGCCGGTGGTGGTGGTGGTCGTGGTCGTGGTGGTCGTGCGCGTAGCTCGTCGTCGGGTGGTGGCGTGAGTGATGGGCGCTGCCAGTACGAGCTCCAGACCGGTCCTCGCCACAACCTCGTGTGCGGTAAGATCAGTCATACCCCCACTCGCTGTTTCAGTCGCCTGGACGACTTGTTTTGTCTCCGCTTCGGCCCCGCGCTCAGGTCCGGTAAACGCCCGTAGTTCCACCACCCTCCCCTGTCCGGCGGTTCCTTCGAGCTCTCTTACAGGCCTACACATCCCCTCCTAGTTTGTGTCGGCTGTCTTCAGGACCTCGGCGTCTTCACTATGTTCCCTGGTCACGAGAGGTACGCTGTCTGTACCGAGGCCGCCACTGGTGGTCGGAGGACCCGGTGTCTGGCCTGTTCACGCTGGACACCGCGTCCCCCCCGGATGGGACGCCCCCCCAGGTTGCAGCGTCTACCCAGATTGTTGCGGCTTGCTCGTGCCGGTCGCTTACTCACCCGTCGCTTCTGTGGCACCACCGTCTAGGTCACCTCACCCTCACATGTCTCAGTCACATGTCTCCGCATGGTCTTGTCTTAGGTCTCCCTGCGTCATTCCCTGCGCTCCCCTCCTCGGTAGCGCCTCCGTGCACCCCCTGCGTCGAGGCTCGGCTCCGCCATGCCCCTCACTCCTCCTCGTTCCCCCCCTACTACCGCACTGTTACAGACCCTGCACATGGACGTCTGGGGCCCCGCCCCTGTCTATGGGCCACGTCGTGAGCGTTACTTCCTAGTGCTTATCAACGTCGACACTCGCTACACCACCGTGTTTCCCCTGGAGCGGAAGGCCGACGTGCCTGACGTTCTTATCCCCTGGCTTGTCTTTGCGCACGTGCACCGAGGTCTCCTTGAGTTGGGTCTTCACTCCGACCGAGGTGGCGAGTTCGCCTCTGGCTGCCTTGGTCGCTTCTGTCGTGCGGAGGGCATCACCCGATGGTACACCCTGCCGGACTCCCCACAGCAGAATGGGGTCGCTGAGTTATGCATCGGTTTGGTCATGGAGGTGGCTCGTACCTCCATGATCCATGCCGGTGCACCCCATTTTCTGTGGCCATTCGCCGTTCGCTACGCTACCCACCAGCTTAACCTGTGGCCGCACCCTCAGGTTCGCCGACTCTCCTCTAGAACGGGTCTTCTGGTGACGCGTCTGCGTTCCACATTTGGGGCTGCCTTGCTCACGTTCGTGTCTCTGGCATGGACAAGCTCTTTGCCCGCACTGTCCCCTGTGTCTTTCTAGGTTTCCCCCATGAATCGTCTGACTGGCACTTCTACCTCCAGCCGTCTCACCGTTTCTTTCACTCTCGCGACATCACTTTTGACGAGTCCGTCTCTTTCACCGCTTTCCCCACCGTGGTTCCTCGGTCAACCCCCCCCAGTTCTTGGTTTCCCCCCCTTCCCCGGTCGCCCCTGTTCCCCCACCTCCACGCCGTGCCCCGTCGGGTGTGTCTCACGTCACCCCCCTCCTGTCGGTTGTCCCTGCCGAGGGGTCTGCTGAATCTCGCGGCTCGGCAGAGTCCCTTCCCCAGCCTGTCCTCGCCCCAGTCCCTCCTCCCCTATTGCTGCCGTTGCTGTCACCGCCGCAGCCGCCTCCACAGCGGCCATCACCGCCGCTGGGGTTTGTGCGTTCTGAGGGTGCTCGGGAGCATGCCAGAGCGGGTACTGGAGCGGGTTCCCATTCTGGGGGTGCTGGTGTGGGGGTTCACGTAGGGAGCCGTGGTCCTGCTGGAGGTTCCGGTGTTGGCGTCGGGCAGCAGTCGCTGCCGGTGTCTGCTCTTCGCCTCCTCAACCTTCCTTCTCCTGACTACCCGCCGGTGCCTTCTCAGATGTTGCCGCCTCCTCATCGGCTAGTCTCCGGCCCTGTGTTTCCTCCCGTTGACCCTTATCCGGCTCGTTTCCCTCCTCGTTCTCCTCCTGTGACTTCTCCCCGCTCTCCTGACCTGACTCCTCCGTCTCACGTCTGGGCTCGTCGTCCCTCTCGTGCTTGTCCTACCTCCCCGGATTCGCGTTCTCACCCTATGTTGCTTCGCTCTCACACATCTCGTGCTCCTCCGCTCCTCCCGTCTCTTCCTCCGTTGTCGCTCGCTGTGGCCCCGCCTCCGTTTTCTGACGTCCTCCGTGCTGCACATCCCTTTGTTCCTCGTGTCCTTGCCTCCCTCATTACCGACCCGTCTATTCCTGTCTCGAGCCTTGATGATCTTGTCGCTGCTGTCGTTGACTTCGCCGCTACCCGCCGCCTTGACTACACCACCGCTTTTGTCTCTGACCCTGCCTGCCATCCGTCCGTCAGGGGTGTGGCTGCCCTTGGCCGTGACGTCCTAGAGGACAGACAGTACGAGCTTGCTTTCCTATCAGAGGCCACTCCCCATCTCTGTTCCATGCTGCTAGTCCCTGAGGGTGACCCAAACGCCCTTGACATCCCGACCCTCGCACCTACGCTGAGGCCACCTCGGGACCGTGGGCGTCTCACTGGATAGCTGCCATGGAGCAGGAGATGGCATCTTGGAGATCCACTGGTGCCTTCCTCAACGCAGTTCCCCTACCTGGGGTGAACGTAGTCGATGGCCGATGGCTCTTCAAGGGGAAGCGCCTTCCTAGAGAGCCGCCTATCTTCAAGGCGCGCTACGTTGCTAATGGCTTCAGTCAGTGTGAGGGGGTTGACTTCTTTCAGACCTTTGCCCCGACCCCGAAGATGACTACTCTTCGGGTATTGCTACATGTAGCAGCATAGCGTGACTACGAGCTGCACTCACTCGACTTCTCCACAGCTTTCCTCCAGGTCAGTCTACATGAGCAGGTCTACTTGCATCGCCCCTAGAGCTTCTCCGGTACCTTTCCCCTTGGTACCGAGTGGCTCCTCCGGTGCCCCGTCTATGGCTTGCGACAGGTGCCCTGTGAGTGGCACGACACACTGTGTGCTACCCTT